CTTCAGGATGGCCCTCATGTCCTCGGGAAGCTCTTCTGGATCGGGCCACTCAAAGTGGTCGGTCACCGGGATGACGTTTTTCCTGCAGCTCAGGGCGGTGGCTATTTCCTGCAAGGGCAGCCTTCTCAAGCCCCTCCTGCCGGACCCCCTCCCTGAGCCCTCTCCTGCCCCCCCTTCTAGACTCCCAAGCCCCCTCCTGCAACCCCCCCCCTCCAGCAGCCTGGCCCCCTTGCAGGGTGTCCGGAGGGGCCGCATCCGGACAGCCGTCCCCGTCGCTGCCTGGGGGGGGCATTTCCTCCCTAACCCCTCCCCCTCACCTTGTGCACCCAGTCTCTGCTGGCCACGTCCCCCTTGCAGCGGTCCAAGGCCTGGACCGAGAGGACCAGCACGAAATTCCGGGCACTCATCACACTCTGGGTCAGCTTGTCCTCAAATTTCCCGGCCTCCAACTTTTCCACGTCGAGGAAGACGCTGAATCCATGCAGCTGGAGGTGGACCTTCAGGAGGCTGCAGTGTGGGGGGGGGCGCATTTTAGGGAGACCCTTTGCTTTTCTCTTCCCCTGGCGGGTCCAACCCCTGGTGCTGGCTGGGGTGGGTGGTCTTCTTGCATATGGAGGGGACCCTGGAGGTCTTCCAGTCCAGAGGTCCCCAACCTTAAGGGCACCAGGGACCGGATATGTGGAGAGAGGTTTTTCCGTGGACCGGAAGGGCCGTGGCTTTCTGTGCTGCCTGTGGAGGGGGCTTTCCTTCTTGGTGCGGACCGGTTGCTGGCATGCCGCGGCCTGGTACTGGTCCACGGACCGGGGGTTGGGGACCCCTGTTCTAGTCCAATTCCTATGCAAGCAGGAGACCCTAGAGCAGGGGTCTTCCAACTTGGCCCTTTGATGACTTGTGGAGTTCAACTCCCAGAATTCCTCAGCCAGGATGCTTTAAGTCAGGGGTCTTCAAAGTTGGCCCTTGGATGACTTGTGGACTTCAACTCCCAGAATTCCTCAGCCAGGAGGCTTTAAGACAGGGATCTTCCAACTTGGCCCTTGGATGACTTGTGGACTTCAACTCCCAGAATTCCTCAGCCAGGCACACGTGCCTGGCTGAGGAATTCTGGGAGTTGAAGTCCACAAGTCATCCAAGGGCCAACTTTGAAGACATCTGTTCTAGAGTCTCAGCATCTTTTTTATGTTGTGAGCGACCACAACTGGATGCAATATTCCAAGTGTAGCACTGATGACGTTCCCTAGTTTGGTAATGAAACGTCTGCAAGAAAGCCACCCAGCTCAGAGAGCACCAAGGACCCCTCGTTTCAATGTTGGACTACAAATAACCCCCTTTATTAGATCCAGTCCCACATTATATGGGGGTTGACTGGAAACACAGGGAGGGCCAGGGGTGTTCCCAGAATTATCCATTCCCTGCTTTGGGTTTATTTTGACAAGGAACAAAGACACGCAGGGCAAGGAAAAGTGACACGCAGGACCCCACCTGAGCCCACCTGGTGCACATCCCTTGGGACCTCAGGCTGCCCCCCCCAGGAGACACTTGAGGGCAGGGGCTTAGCTCATCTTTCAGAAGGTGTTGTGGCTCCGTCTTGTGAGCCCCTCTTATCGGAGGAAGAAGGCTCCGAAC